TAATATGTGGTCAGAGGACAGTATTTGCCATCTGAGGCTTCTCACACAGGGATTTTCCCTTGAGATAGGGAGAAAAGTACAGAAAGTAATGCAAAAGCAGGCATAGCTTTTTTTTATTAACCCCTTGCCCTCAGAAAGGATTTACCCCCCCCCCCCCCCCTTCCTGACCGGGCCATTGTTTGCGATACGGCGCTGCATTACATTAACTGACAATTTCATGGTCATGCAACGCTGCACCCAAATTAAATTTACAGCCTTTTTTTCCCACGAATTGATATTTCTTTCGGTGGTATTTGATCGGTTTTTATTTTTTTTTGCGCTATAAACAAAAAATGACCAACAATTTTGAGAGAAAAACTATATTTTGGACTTTTTGCTATTAAATGTCTTGTAAAAAAAAAAATGTAAAAAAATCAAATTTCGTCATAAATTTAGGCCAAAATGTGTCTTTGCCGAAAAAAAAATCCGAATACGTGTCAATTAATTGGTTTACGTGAAAGTTATAGCATTTACAAATGACGGTATATATACTGGAATTTTTTTTCAACTAGTAATGGCGGCAATCAGGGACTTATAGCGGGACTGCAGCTGGCATTCTGACACTGGGGGGGAACTGACTGTCACTGACATCCCCAGAGACACCAATACAATGATCAGTGCTAATAAAAAGCACTGACACTGTACTAATGGCACTTGGCAGGAAGGGGTTGACATCTGGGGCAATCAAAGGGTTAACTGTGTGCTGTTTCACTATGTGTGCTGTGTTCTTCACTGTAAGCACACTGCTATGCAGAGCCATACAAAGCAGTGTGCAGGAGCTGACAGGGGAGAGATCTGTATTGTTTACATACAGGTCTCCCCCCCGTCGGAGATACTTGGTGATCACTGGGTGCCAGCAAGTAATCACCAGCCAGGACCCGATGATTGACAGCAGAGGTCGTGAATGTCCCCTACCTGGAACTGCAAAATCATGTGTATATATACGTGATTTTGCGCACCCATGCCGCCCTGTGGCAGTATATCTGCTATAGGGCGGCGCAGAAGCGGTTAAAGTGATTATAAACAATATTATATGAAATAATAATAATATTTAAATCACAAACATGTTTCTACTTACCTTCTCTATGCAATGGAATTGTATTGGCCTCAGACTTCCTCTTCTCTGGTCCCTCAACGGCTGTCCTGGCTCCTCCTCCGTAGCAAGCCTCTTGCTATGGGGATACACCTGCAGACCCGCTCCCGAGCCATGCTACCTACATCCATAGACACAGACAGAGCGGCTAGGGTCCGCCCCCCTGCTCCCTCATCACAGGATGTGACTGACAGTAGCAGGAGCCAATGGTTCCTACAGCCTCAGCAAAGCCTGTGAGAGTGGGGGGGCCGATAAAGATGGGCACAGCGCTGAATCAAGTGAGGACTCATGTATGGGGGGGTTGAGGGGGCATATTGCTATCAAAAACTTTCACCATAAAGTGGAGTTCCAGACGTCTTTGTGTTTATTAAAAGTCGGCAGCTACAAACTGTATCAGCTAACTTTTAATAAACACACACTTACCTGTCCCGGGGTCCAGCGATGAGCTCATCTGCACTGTCCCTTCTCCCTTCTCTCTTCCACAGTGGCGGCATGTCAACCGTGGGCACCAGGCTGTGACAGCTTGCGCATGCGCGAGTCATGCTACGCCTCCTGATTGGTCCGGCAGTCTCCTGGGACCTGTGAAAGTTCCCAGAAGACTGCGGGAGGGAGGAGGGGGCCAAACAAATATCCCTTCCCCCTCCAAAAGGTGCCAAATACGGCAGTGGAGGGGGGGAAGGAGGCAAATAAGTGGAGCTTCCGCTTTTGAGTGGAACTCTGCTTTAATGCAAGGAATGCATTGCAATTTCATTGCAGGTAAATAATGGATTGCAAGCAGAAGCAACATGCCTTCATTGAGTTCTTGATGAAAGAACAACATGCCTTCATTGAGTTCTTGATGAAAGAACAACATGCCATCATTGAGTTCTTGATGAAGGAGTGACATGCCATCATTGAGTTCTTGATGAAGGAGCAACATGCCATCATTAAGTTCTTGATGAAGGAGCAACATGCCTTCATTGAGTTCTTGCTGAAAAAGCAGCATGCCATCATTGAGTTCTTGATGAAGGGGCAACATGCTATCACTGAGTTCTTGATGAAGAGGCAACATGCCTTCATTGAGTTCTTGCTGAAGGAGCAACATACCTTCATTGCGTTCTTGAAGAAGGAGTGACATGCCTTCATTGAGGTCTTGATGAAGGAGCGACATGCCTTCATTGAGTTCTTGATGAAGGAGCAACATGTCATCATTGAGTTCTTGATGAAGGAGAAACATGCCATCAGCGAGTTCTTGATGAAGGAGCAACATGCCATCATTGAGTTTTTGATGAAGGAGCAACATGCCATCATTGAGTTCTTGCTGAAAAAGCAGCATGCCATCATTGAGTTCTTGATGAAGGGGCAACATGCTATCACTGAGTTCTTGATGAAGAGGCAACATGCCTTCATTGAGTTCTTGCTGAAGGAGCAACATACCTTCATTGCGTTCTTGAAGAAGGAGTGACATGCCTTCATTGAGGTCTTGATGAAGGAGCGACATGCCTTCATTGAGTTCTTGATGAAGGAGCAACATGTCATCATTGAGTTCTTGATGAAGGAGAAACATGCCATCAGCGAGTTCTTGATGAAGGAGCAACATGCCATCATTGAGTTTTTGATGAAGGAGCAGCATGCCATCATTGAGTTCTTGCTGAAAAAGCAGCATGCCATCATTGAGTTCTTGATGAAGGAGCAACATGCCATCATTGAGTTCTTGATGAAGGAGCAACATGCCATCATTGAGTTCTTGATGAAGGAGCAACATGCCTTCATTGAGTTCTTGCTGAAAAAGCAATATGCCATCATTGAGTTCTTGATGAAGGAGCAACATGCTATCACTGAGTTCTTGATGAAGGAGCAATATGCATTCATTGAGTTCTTGCTGAAAAAGCAGCATGCCATCATTGAGTTCTTGATGAAGGGGCAACAAGCTATCACTAAGTTCTTGATGAAGAAGCAACACGCCTTCATTGAGTTCTTGCTGAAGGAGCACCATGCCTTCATTGCGTTCTTGAAGAAGGAGTGACATGCCTTCATTGAGGTCTTGATGAAGGAGTGACATGCCTTCATTGAGGTCTTGATGAAGGAGCGACATGCCTTCATTGAGTTCTTGATGAAGGAGCAACAGGTCATCATTGAGTTCTTGATGAAGGAGCGACATGCCTTCATTGAGGTCTTGATGAAGGAGCAACATGCCTTCATTGAGGTCTTGATGAAGGAGCAACATGCCTTCATTGAGTTCTTGATGAAGGAGCGACATGCCTTCATTGAGTTCTTGATGAAGGAGCAACATGCCATCATTGAGTTCTTGATGAAAGAGCAACATGCCATCATTGAGTTCTTGATGAAGGAGAAACATGCCATCAGTGAGTTCTTGATGAAGGAGCAACATGCCTTCATTGAGTTCTTGCTGAAAAAGCAGCATGCCATCATTGAGTTCTTGATGAAGGAGCAACATGCCTTCATTGAGTTCTTGATGAAGGAGCGACATGCCTTCATTGAGTTCTTGATGAAGGAGCAACATACCATCATTGAGTTCTTGATGAAGGAGTAACATGCCTTCATTGAGTTCATGATGAAGGAGCAACATGCCTTCATTGAGCTCTTGATGAAGGAGCAACATGCTATCACCAAGTTCTTGATGAAGGAGCAACATGCCTTTATTGAGTTCTTGCTGAAAAAGCAGCATCATCGATTTCTTGATGAAGGAGCAACATGCTATCACTGAGTTCTTGATGAAGAAGCAACATGCCTTCATTGAGTTCTTGAAGAAGGAGCAACATGCCTTCATTGAGTTCTTGATGAAGGAGCAACATGCCTTCATTGAGTTCTTGATGAAGGACCGACATGCCTTCATTGAGTTCTTGATGAACGAGCGACATGCCATCATTGAGTTCTTGATGAAAGAGCGACATGCCATCACTGAGTTCTTGATGAAAAAGCAGCATGCCATCATTGAGTTCCTGATGAAGGAGCAACATGCCATCATTGAGTTCTTGATGAAGGAGCAACATGCCATCATTGAGTTCTTGATGAAGGAGCAACATGCCTTCATTGAGTTCTTGCTGAAAAAGCAGCATGCCATCATTGAATTCTTGATGAAGGAGGGGGTGCGTGCCATCCAATTTTGACGGTTTGCCACAGAATGGTTTGTGTTCAGTGCTGGTTCCCCCTGCCTTCAACTTATCAATGGTGTCATCTCCATAAACATTCTTCTGTGGATGTCGGACAGCCTGCACCCCCCTCCTTCATCACAAACTCAATGACGACATGTTGCTTCTGCTTGCAATCCATTATTTACTTGCAATGAAAAAGAAGAAGAGATAGTATAGAGGAGGAGATGGTATACAGCATGGTTTCTAACTCACAGTTCCTCCAGAAGTTGCTAGGGGTTCCTTGAGCAATTTGTGCCTCTCAGATAAGTTCTCACTGACACCATGGATCTTTTTAGCTCTCTGTAATGGGGATAAATTCTTCCCAATGGCCACAAGTGTAAGGAGCATTCTTCCCACTGACCATCACACTAATGTACAATGAGTTGTAGACATTTTTAGTAGGGGTTCCCTGAGACTGATATCAAGAATTCTTCTGGGTCGAAAAAGTTGAGAAAGGCTGCTTTAGATAAAGAGTGACTCTACCAGCATGTGAAATTTGAAAGATCTACGGACAATGAATGCACCGATGAGAATTTTCATACCAATGGTTGCACAAACCTTTGTTCTAAATCTGCTAGCGTATGGCCGGCTTTAGGGGTGTCACTGCTGAGTTCCCAAGAAATACAAAAAGCAAATATCTGATTCATTTAAGCAAAGTCTACCCACAACTGAAATATTTGGTTGAGTCAGTTGACTTTTTCGGTTGGTGGTCACTACATTGGCCGCGGTGTCTCCTAGTTCACCAGCTGCTTCTGTAGGGTGCTCTCGCCCAATGCATTTTGGGTAAGGTAACCGTAGGTGTGTCCATACTGAAACTTGTAGCCTGTAGAGGGAAACAGAACATGGTCACCTTGGGTGCCTCATCAATGGCTTCATAAATAGATCAGTTTTTTGGACTTTTGGTCTTCCTTTCTGATATATAGATTATCACCTTGTTAGTATGGAAGACTCTATTTACATAATACCCAATATAGGCAACATTCCCACCCCTCTGCTCAATAGGATACTTATCTGATTTTGGATTTCCACTCATCTTACTGTTTGACACCCTATGAATGCCTAGGCAAAGCCAAAAATCCGGACGCCACTTAATTCTGGACACCAGTCCTTTTCAGAATGAAGGTAGTATTTAGTTTAGGGTTTGCTCAATCAGGGCAAAGTACCAGGTTCACTTTCAGGCTAAGTTCACACTACTGTGTGAAGGAGAATCTTGGTAGAAGTACCATCACTCTATGTCCACCTAGAGCAGTGGTTCTCAACCTGTGGGTCGTGACCCCTTTGGGGGTCGAACGACCCTTTCACAGGGGTCCCCTAAGACCATCAGAAAACAAATATTTCTGATGTGTAAAGAGCAGCTACTGTGTAGAAAGCAGCTACTCTGTTAAAATCAGCTGCTACTGTGTTGAAAGCAGCAGTATTGGCGGTAAAACGACACTCATGAATTATAATTACTGGGTAAATAATTTTATGGTTGGGGGTCACCACAACATGAGGAACTGTATTAAAGGGTCGCGGCATTAGGAAGGTTGAGAACCACTGACCTAGAGGATGCAAGCCATTTTTGACCAAACTTAGTTATGAGGTGTATAGTTGGGTTAAGTCCCTTTAGCATGTAGCCCCCTCCTAGTCAGGTGCTAGGATGTGTATAGTTGGGTTAAGCCCCTTTAGAATGTACCCCCCTCGTAGTCAGGTGTTAGGATGTGTATACTTGGTTTAAGCCCCTTTAGCACGTAGCCCCCTCCTAGTCAGGTGCTAGGATGTGTATAGTTGGGTTAAGCACAGTTGTGTTTCTCTGCTCACCATAGAGACTGTTCGGTGAATTCGGTGGGGTATTCTGCTTAGCAGGGTGCTGAGAATGATTGGTTGGGTCTACTCATGCTGCCCTGGTGCTGTTGGAGTTTGTCTGAGTTTTTTCCCGCCTTCAGGAAGCTATGAAAGCCTTCCAGAACATGGGTAGGGGCTAGGCAAATGAACAGCATGAATATGGAACAGCCCTGGCCAATTGCAGGGGAGAGTTGCCCCATTGAATGCTGGGAGTGGTATTTATATTCTGAGGGCACATGGGTTCAGCGTATTTTCCCAGGAGTGGATTTCACCAGCCAGGCTAAAGGCAGGCTTGCCTCGCCTGGAACTTGTTTCCATGTGGCCTCAAGTGGGTGTCCTGAGGGCCTGAAGTTAGAGAGAGTGACCCTGGTTCTGCAGCAAGCTGACTGAGGGGAGCGGTCCATCAAAGATCTGTCTGGTATCACTGGAGGGAGTCGCTTGGAAGATTGGAAGGAGGCAACCATTCTGTCCTAAGACTTGAGTACAGATGCTGAGAGATCTTGGGGACTCATTGCTACCCCTCTGGTGTTAGATAGTCAACATGGTTCTGGAAAAAGGGAACACTGGCTGGTGTTTTGAAGAGCTTGTCCAACTGTTGCTACTGCATAGGACTTTGCTCAGCTATGTTACCTTTGGGCTGTTGCAGTCTGTCATAACTGGCTTATACCTGAGGAGCTCAGCCCTGTAACTACTACTACTGCAAAAAAGAACTTTGCTCACTCCTAAACTACTTGTTGCTACAAAGTAAAGAGAAGTCTGCTATCTACTGCCAGCCAAGACCTCATAAGTGTTCAACTAGATGTCCAGCTAGATGTCCTCAGTGTGAAGTTGGAGTTTCCTACTACAATTCCCCATCCCTATCCCCAGTTCTACAATAAACTCCAAAAACAAAACATCCCCTAGACTGGTATTTGAAGGCAACAAGCTGAAGTGCATGTGAGTGTATTTGTCTGTAGAAATACACTGTGCCTGGCCGCGAGGCAAAGCAAGGGGAGCCCATGGGGGTAGCGCTACCAGAAGATGTGTGGAGGAACCAATAATTGTTAATGGCACCTCCTTGCATTTATTGTCACGCTGTTTTGGAAAAGGGTCAAGGCCTTCTTTTTTTCATCTCTCACACATAAGGTGCCCCATTGAAATGAGTGGGCTGCCCTACGCAGGGGAACATGCCCGTGCTTAGTCACACCTGATGTGAACCAAGCCTAAAGCCCTCCTCCCCAGCAGCACATACATAGCTTGCTATTTACTCCTCTGCCAGAAATGAAGGGAGAAGGACCTTCTGTAATCCTCATGGTGCAACTTGGAGCTTATACAGGCCCGTGGGCTCATTCCCCACAGCCATGTGACAGTTCTGGATGCCTAGATGGTCAATCATTAAGCACCAGTGCTGTCATGTGTGGAACAAAGGATAGGTTCACACCTTGTGTGTTGGGAACGAGTGCAAAATTGCATGCTTTCTCAACACGTATAGCACGAACGTACGCCATTTGGTTTGGTGCCGTGTGATTTTGGAAAAAAGGTCAGCGACTTATTTTCCGTGTTTCTTGCATGTAGGGCAGCCCACTAAAATGAATGGGCTGCCCTACACACAATGGGCATCTGTCAGGGCTCCGTCCTCGGCAGAGGTGTTAGGAGACCTGGCACCCCTGCCAGTACCTTTCATGGCCGCAGAAGTTCACATTGGCTCAAATTTGTCGCCAAACAGCCTTTATAAGGAAGCCCTCAGGTGCTGGTTGATCTCTGGCTCCCCAGTACCTTGTTCCTGTGCTATTGTGACCTGTGATTTCCTGATCCTGTGCTACTGTGATCTGTGATTTCCTGTTACCGACTTGGCTTGCTCCTGGACCTGTCTTCTCTGCTTAAACCCTGACCTGACCTCGGCTTGGCTAACGGATATTCTTTCTTGCCCCTCTGTGTATGACCTCAGCTATCCCATCTGACTACGTCTGCTCTGATCTCCACCTGGTACCGGACTTTGGCTTTGAACCAGTTACCCAGTAATCCTCTGTTCCCCGGAAGGGCTTGCATACCTCGCACAGGCGCCACCTGTCTGCAGACCTCATCTCAGTCCATCAGCTGTGCTCCTGGGTGGACCACCAACAAGTACTCCTACAGGCGAGCTGTGCCACTTTGGGCCTGACTCCCGTTGTCCCACTCTCAGGGGAGTCTGGAACTTAGCCGCAAAGGAAGTCCTCTCTCCATTGGCCTCTCACATCAGGTACATGACAGCACCTGTATGGTTCGAACCTAGCCTTAGAGTTACTGCAGAAAAAACAGGATATTCACACTCTATGGGCACCATTGCTTGTGTGAACGACGAAGGCTAGAGCACGACTTGAGTGTAACTGTTTTGGGAAACAAGTAAATAGGAGAATTTAGTTCAGCTTTAACCCTTTGCCCTCCTGAGGATTTCCCCCCCCCCCTCCCTTCCTGACCAGGCCATTTTTTTTGAGATACGGCGCTGAGTTACTTCAACTGACATGCAATGCCGCACCCAGATGAAATTTACATCCTTTTTTTCCCACGAATTGATCTTTGTTTGGGTAGTATTTGATTGCCTCTGCGGTTTTTATTTTTTGCGCTATAAGCAAAAAAAGCCCAACAATTTTGAGAAAAAAAAACAATATTTTGGACATTTTGTTATTAAACATGTCCAGTAAAAAAATTTAAAAACTCAAATTTCATCATAAATTTAGGCCAAAATGTATTCTGCTCCGTGTCTTTGCTAAAAAAAAAATCTCAATATGTGTAAATTAATTGGTTTATGTGACAGTTATAGAGTCTACAAATGGCGGTATATATACACTGGAATTTTCTTTTCCTACTAGCAATGGCGGCAATCAGCGACTTTTAAAGGCACTGCGGTGGACATTCTGACACTGGGGGGGGAACTTGGTGTCATTGACATCCCCAGTGACACCAATACAGTGATCAGTGCTAAAAAACAGCACTGACACTGTACTAATGGCACTAGGCAGGAAGGAGTTAATGTGAGGGGCGATCAAAGGGTTAACTGTGTGTAGGGAGTGTTTTACTAGGAGGTGGGGGGGGTGTGCTTCACTGTAAACACACTGATCGGGATGGCTGTGCTGTGCAGTGTCTGAGCTGACAGGGAGGAAGACTGTCGGTAATCACCAGGCGCCGGTGGGTAATCCCTGGCCGGGACCTGGTGATTGACATCAGTGGCCGGGAATGACGGCGTGGGTAGGGCGCGTGCCCCCCTACCCAGAAATGCAAAATCATGTATATATACACGTGATTTTGCGCCCCCATGTTGCCATGTAGCAGTATATCTGCTATATGGTGGTGGGTAAGTGGTTAATGTATTAGGGCTAATGGGGTCAATGGCTCCTGCTCCTGTCTCAGTAGAAGTAGAAGAGGGAGTCCTGGGATAGCCGAAACTCCAGTGCACATCGCTGGATCGGGAGGGAGCTTAGGTGAGTATTAGGGTCGGCTGCATGAAGGTAAAAAACCTTGAGCCTTTACAACCACTTTAAAGCTCATCAGCTAACTACATTCCAGGTGCATCAAAACCATGGGCAGACTGACAACTCATAGGGCCCCCGGGCAATAGGGGATCATGGTGCCCCTGTGTCCTTGCCCAAACTCAAAAAAGCCTATGAAAAAGGTACCAGGGGCATCTCATGGGGCCCCCTACTGACCCCGGGCCCTCGGGCAGTGCCTGAGTTTCCAAATGGTCAGTCCGCCCCTGATCAAAACCAAAGGTGTACAATGCCTTAGAGTTCAATTTCCTTAGAAAGAAGGCAAGGCGTGAGTCGAAAAGCCTGTCCCGTGCCAGCATGCTGCTGAGAAGGACCTTTGCTGGAAGCAGTGATCTCTCTGCAGAGGTCCAATACACCCCCTAATTTAATCAATAAGGGCAAATATGGGGAAATTGCCCAGCTACCAAAATCCCCATTTTCCTTAAAGCCCATCTCTGACCAAAAAAAAGTTTTCCCATGCAGTTGGACCATCCCTGCACTGCCTGGGTTAACTGCTTGTTTTTGTCTACAGGAGATGAGAAAGGAAATATACTTACCTAATCCTCCGATCCTTCCAGCACAAGACCGGTCTGGCACCCTCACGCTCCAGCGGTCTTGAGTTGTTGAGTGTTCCTGACATCATCAAGCCCAGAGCAGGCTCCATAGACCAGGAACAGTCTACCACAGGGGCGGACTGACCATTTGGAAACTCGGGCGCTGCCTGAGGGCCCGGGGTCAGTAGGGGACCCCATGAGATGCCCCTGGTACCTTTTTCATAGACTTTTTTGAGTTTGAGCAAGGGTACAGGGGCCCCATGATCCCCTATTGCCCGGGGGCCCCCATGAGTTGTCAGTCCGCCCCTGGTCCACCACTAGATCATGGTTGACCGCCGTTTTCATTTTCCAGGGGAATGAAGGATTGGGTAAGTATAAAAACGTTCTCCTTAACCCAAGACATAAAGAACAGTTGACCCGTGCAGTGCTGGCACAACCCAACTGCATGGGAAAAAAAAATTTTTGCCCAGAGTTGAGCTTTAAAAAAAAAAAAGATGGCGCTATCTATATAGAATTTAAAAGGACATTTGACATGGTGGGATTTTTAAGGCACAGTACAAACATTCTCATAAAATATACATTTTAGTTGTCCATACACACAAACATTTTTTTATTTTACATCAAGTTGTGTCTTAAAATCATATTAAAAGTTACAGCTCAAGAGACATTACAGGTTGCAAATTCAGGTTCTCTGAAAACTCAACGCGTTTCTTGGATTTTATCCACTTCGTCAGGAGCTAGAGATGAGTTAACCTCTTCAAGTCCGGATACTTTTACCCCCTTCCTGTCCAGGCCAATTTTCAGCCTTCAGCCTTGTCACACTTTGTATGACAATTGCGCGGTCATGCAACACTGTACCCATATGCATTTTTTAGCATTCTTTTGAGACAGATAAAGCTTTATTTTGGTGGTATTTATTCAGCACTGGGATTTTTATTTTTTTTGCTATGTAAATGAAAATGTCCAAAAATTTTGAAAAAAAGTATTTTTCTTATAAAATCTTTGCAAATAAATAATATTTCATCATAAATCTTGGCCAAAATTTATTCCGTTATCTTTTTAGTTAAAAAAATAATAATCCAAATTAGTTTATAGCCAAAAATTATAATTTCTAAACATTTTTTTTAACATTTTTATTTGTGTTTTTTATAGTATAATTTATGTTTTTTTTTACATACTGTCACCCTAGCAGTACAGTGTCACCATGGTGACACTGTACTACTTGTGGGGGGTGATGAAGATTTTTTTTTTTTTTACATTGATTGCTTTTACACCCATAAAGGCTGTAAAAGCAATCATTTCTCTTTCTCTCTGGCTGCATTCTTGCAGCCATTGAGAAATACTGTGTGAGCTGTGATTGGTCACAGCTTGTCACATGGTACAAGGCTGTTGTGAATAGCCTTGTACCATGTGACCTCTGTGATGATTCACAGATTTCACACGTAGTAAGCAATGATGTCACAAGTGACATCTTGCTTACAACTCTGCATGTGATCACTGATTGGCCAATCAGTGATCACATGATCGGACCTCGCACAGAGATCCTGTACAGCGATCGGTGTTGCACTGTGTCTGGAGGACACAACGGGCACCGGATCGCGGTGCTGCGCGCTCCCAGGGAGCGTGCACAAGCAGGGGGCGGGGAGGACGTTTATAAACAGCCACCCGACCCTGCACTGCCACCGTCCGACCGTTTATATACAACTGCCGGATGGGAAGTGGTTAACACTACGGCCCCTTTCACACGGGCGTTCCATGTTTTTCATCAGTTCAGTCATGTTTTTTCCAAGCAAAAACGGATCAGTTTACATAACTTTTTTTCATCCGTTTTTCGTCCATTTACATCCGTTTTTTTTTCTTGTCCATTATATTTGTTTACGTTTTTTTCCCCCAAAATTGTTTTATTTTGTATGCACCAATGAAATGTATATTTTATGAGAATGGTTGTAACTGTGCCTTAAAAATCTCACCATGTCAATTGTCCTTTTAAATTCTAAATAATTTTTTTTAAATTTTTAATTTTTTTGGCACCTTTTAGGCCAAGAAAGGTTGCGCCATCTATATAGTTGTTTTCAGAATAGACTTTGTGGACTTCCCCGGTTCCTGCACCACTAGCCTCTGGTATGTAAAATGGGAAATGTCCTGACCTGGCACATATCCCGTGTAGCGGGGCAATAAGCCCAGTTCCTCCAGGTAGATGTGACCTTGATCCGATGGCTCCTTGTTCCCCTCCCGAGGCTCTGACTGGCCTCCCACTCTCACGCTCTTCTTCAGGGTCATGTGACCAAACTCTTGCATGGCTCTATTGGTGGTGATGGGATAGCCGGTGCCGATCAGGAAGCGAGAGCGAGGAACATACCCCGTGTAACCTGTGGGAAAAGTTGTCAATTGTTTAAAAAAAATTTTTTTACAAAGTTTGCTTTTGGTATTAAGTGGAATGAATTTTATAGTTTATTGAAAATAAAAGTAAACAAGTAGAGCCAATGTGTTTTGGGGGAATTGCCTCCTTCTTCAGGGCTGTATTTCTTGGAGAATGGTTAGCCCCGGCCACTGATCCACAATGCAGACATACTGCAGAGCCTCTCATTGAATATTATTTATCCCTCTTAGAGTCTAACCATTCTCCAAGAAATACAAATTCAAGTGAGACTTTCTGGACATCGGGCGCTCCTCTCTAATCACCCAGGGCTACATACGGAACTGCACCCCCAACTCCTTCTGCTAATGCATGTTTTAGATGGCCTTAGCACCTAGCCTGCTCTAGCACATCCCCTCCCCGTGCTCCAGGCTGCCTATACTGCCCACCCTTCCTTGTGCCAGCCCTGTACTTACCTATCCAGGGTCCTGTTGTGATGTAGCCCACATGGAAGAAAAATATACTTGAAATACCACAATATAGCCATATTCAATATATATACATACATAGTACTTGGTGGCATTTACATGTTCATGAGGGAAATAAGGATTTGATCCCCTATCATTCAGCAGGATTTCTGGTTACCAGGTGTCTTTCATACAGGTAACAAGCTAAGATTAGAAGTAGTCTCTTAAAGGGAGTGCTGCTAATCTCATTTTGTGACCTGTATAAAAGACACCTGTCCACAGGAGCAATCAAACCATCAGATTCCAAACTCTCCACCATGGCAAAGACCAAAGAGCTGTCCAAGGAGGTCAGGGACAAGATTGTAGACCTACACAAGGCTGGAATGGGCTACCAAACTATGGCCAAGCAGCTTGGTGAGAAGGTGACAACAGTTGGTGCAATCATTCACAAATGGAAGAAACACAAAACAAGTGTCAGTCTCCCTAGGTCTGGTGCACCGTGCAAGATCTCACCTCGTGGAGTGTCAATGATCATGAGAACAGTGAGGAGTCATCCCAGAACTACACGTGAGGATCTTGTCAATGATCTCCAGGCAGCTGGGACCACAGTCACCAAGAAAACAATTGGTAACACACTACGCCGATCAGGACTGAAATCCTGCAGTGCCCGCAAGGTCCCTCTGCTCAAGAAAGCACATGTCCAGGCCCGTCTGAAGTCTGCCACTGAACATCTCAATGATGCAGAGGAGGACTGTTTGAAAGTGTTGTGGTCAGATGAGATGAAAATTGAGCTCTTTGGCATCAACTCAACTCGCCGTGTTTGGAGGAGGAGGAATGCTGCCTATGACCCCGAGAACACCATCCCAACTGTGAAACATGGTGATGGAAATATTCTGCTTTAGGGGGGGGGGTTTCTGCTAAGGGGAAAGGACAACTGCACCGCATCAAAGGGACGATGGACGGGGCAATGTACCATCAAATCTTGGGTGAGAACCTTCTTCCCTCAGCCAGGGCATTGAAAATGGGTCATGGATGGGTGTTCCAGCATGACAATGACCCAAAACACAACAAGGCAACAAAGGAGTGGCTCAAGAAGAAGCACATTAAGGTCCTGGAGTGGCCTAGCCAGTCTCCAGACCTTAATCCGATTCAAAATCTGTGGAGGGAGCTGAAAGTTCGAGTTGCCAAATGTCAGCCACCAAACCTTAATGACTTGGAGAGGATCTGCCAAGAGCAGTGGGCCAAAATCCCTCCTGAGATGTGTGCAAACCTGGGGGCCAACTCCAGGAAACGTCTGACCTCTGTGATCGCCAACAAGGGATTGGCCACCAAGTACTAAGTCATGTTTTGTGAAGGGGATCAAATCCTTATTTCCCTCATGAACATGCAGATCAGTCATCATTTGTTAGACGCATTTCTGCTGAATTTGTTGTTGTATTCTGTCTCTCAGTGTTACACCGAACATTTGATTTTTAGACCGATCATTTCTTTGTGAGTGGGCAAACATTCAAAATTAGCAGGGGTTCAAGTACGTATTTTATTCACTGTGTGTGTGTGTGTATATATAGAGGGAGAGAGAGAGAAAGATTATGGCCAAAATTGTAGTATTTCAAACATATTTTCCTTCCATATGGGAGGGGTGGAGGAAGGAACCACAATGCACTGAGGCATCCACCACTTCTGGAAGCGTCAAGTGACCTATAGACTGACAGACGTTGCAGCACTGGAATGGAGGGGAGGTAAGAGTCATGGACTGCTGGAGAGAGGCATTTAAAAGTTTAAAACAAAGTCAAAACTACATCTGAAAGAGTTAAATTCTCATTTTTGCATAAGTTATCAGTAAAAAACGTAGCTGAGCGACTTCATGGCCAGCCGTGAGGAGGAAAGGTTCCGTCTCTGAGCTCACCTGAGATGAAGTACTTGTGTGGGCTGCCATCTTCCATGTAGTAGGGGGACACTGGGACCTGGTAAGCACTGGGAGACACGTAGGGTGCTGCATCCTTGAACCGCGGAGGGAGCGGAGTCCGGTACTTGGCTGTGATGAGCTAAAGAGTTATAAAAGGTATTAGTGAGATAAAACCAATAAATGAAATTCTATCTTCCCCATTCATTGTCATCACAGGAATTCTGGGCCGATGTATATTTGGGGTTTATTTGCCTCCTGAACCAGGACAAGTAACATTTATTGGACTGGTGGCCCTGAGTGGAGATGTTCCCCCATTTAGACTCCAATCAAAGCAAGATCTGCAGTCTGTGATATCTGTTGGGTGGTCCACAGTATATATACCTACTGCCTATTCTGACCTGAGATCTCAGCACTTCATAGAAAGATCCTTCTCAACACTGACTCACCTTGAAGTTTTGAGCTTGTCCATGATGGTATTAACCACTTCCAGTCCGGACACTTTCCCCCCCCTTCCAGTCCGGACACTTTCCCCCCCCTTCCAGTCCGGACACTTTCACCCCCTTCCAGTCAGGACACTTTCCCCCCCCTTCCAGTCCGGACACTTTCCCCCCCTTCCAGTCCGGACACTTTCACCCCCTTCCAGTCCGGACACTTTCACCCCCTTCCAGTCCGGACACTTTCCCCCCCTTCCAGTCCGGACACTTTCACCCCCTTCCAGTCCGGACACTTTCCCCCCCTTCCAGTCCGGACACTTTCCCCCCCTTCCCAGTCCGGACACTTTCACCCCCCTTCCAGTCCGGACACTTTCCCCCCCCTTCCAGTCCGGACACTTTCCCCCCCTTCCAGTCCGGACACTTTCCCCCCCTTCCAGTCTGGACACTTTCCCCCCCTTCCAGTCCGGACACTTCCCCCCCCTTCCAGTCCGGACACTTTCACCCCCCTTCCAGTCCGGACACTTTCCCCCCTTTCCAGTCCGGACACTTTCCCCCCTTTCCAGTCCGGACACTTTCCCCCCTTTCCAGTCCGGACACTTCCCCCCCTTCCAGTCCGGACACTTCCCCCCCCCTTCCAGTCCGGACACTTTCACCCCCTTCCAGTCCGGACACTTTCCCCCCTTTCCAGTCCGGACACTTCACCACCTTCCAGTCCGGACACTTTCCCCCCCTTCCTGTCCAGGCCAATTTTCAGCTTTTAGTGCTATCACACTTTGAATGACAATTGCGCGGTCATGCAACACTGTATCCATATGAATTTTTGTAGCATTTTTTTGAGACAGATAAAGCTTTATTTTGGTGGTATTTATTCACCGCTGGGATTTTTTTTTGCTATATAAATGAAAGTCCAAAATTTTTTTTTTAAAAAGTGTTTTTCTTATATAATTTTGCAAATAAATAATATTTCATCGTAAATCTTGGCCAAAATGTATTCCGTTATCTTTTTAGTAAAAAAAAAAAAGAACCCAAATTAGTTTATAACTAAAAATGATCATATTTAAAAAATATTTTTTTTACATTTTTATTTTATTTCTTTATATTTATTATTTATTTATTTTATTTTTTTTTACATACTGTCACCCTAGTAGTACAGTGTCACCATGGTGACACTGTACTACTTGTGGGGGGTGATGAAGATTTTTTTTTTTCTTTCTTTACACTGATTGCTTTTACACCCATAAAGGCTGTAAAAGCAATCATTTCTCCTTCTCTCTGGCTGCATTCCTGCAGCCATTGAGAAATACCGTGTAAGCTGTGATTGGTCACAGCTTGTCACATGGTACAAGGCTGTTGTGAATAGCCCTGTACCATGTGATCTCTGTGATCATTTACAGATTTCACACGTAGTAAGCAATGATGTCAGAAGTGATATCTTGCTTACTACTATTCATGTGATCACTGATTGGCGAATCAGGGATCGTGTGAATCGGGACCTCACACAGAGGTCCCGTACAGCAATTGCGGTGCCGTGCGCTTCCAGGGAGGCACAGGCAATGAACGTGCGTGACGTTTAGAAACGTTACCCTGCTTTGGCAGCGCTCCTGTCTGGCCGTTTATCTACATGGGCTGGACTGGAAGGTGGTTAAACATGTGCATTCCAGTGTGTTTTGGGTGCATTTTGGCGCATTCCGGTGCAGGAAAAAATGCAGCCTGTTCTACTTTTTTTTTCTCAACTGGAACGCACCGGAACTGCAAGTGCTGATGTGAACTATGACATTGACCACCATATCACCTACTTTCTGTGCATTTTGGATGCAGAAAAAAAAAAACACAACTGAAACGCACGTCATGTGAACCGGCCCTGAGACCCCCGCTGCAGATCGCAAGTGCAGTGCGTCTTGAACCTGGCACTGGAATCGCGCACACAAAGCAGGCTTCCCGCACTGCGTTCTTGCCCTCCCTCTATAAAAAATGAAAAAATAATAGATTTGCTTTTTAGTTCAAATTTTCTTTTTTAAAAAAAAAAGGATTTTTTTTTAATCCTGGCTGCAATAAGTAAAAGGAAAAAAAATACAAAACCAAAAAAAGTGAAAAAAATGTAAAAAAAAAGTGAAAAACCCCGAAGATTTGCTTGTCGGTACAAAATCTGATCTCTCTCATACATTCACCGGCACCTCTTGGAAAGGTCCTGATCGCTACTTGCGATTGGGAGCTTTTTCGATCATGTGACCGCTGTGACAGCCAATCGCGGCGGTCGCATGACCCTAAACCCCGCCTCCCAGCCTCCTTAAAGGGCCGGGAGGCGCTGGCGCCAGGGGATTAAAATAAACTGGTTTGGAGGTTCCTGTCTGTCGGCTGTATGTGCTAAATATGGAATATTCCAATGCAACATTAGTAACAATGTAACATTTCGTTCCTGATATATAAAAAAAGGAAATTTTGTAATATTTGAATTTGCACCGAACCTTACGGGTGAAATATACCGGAGAATTCAATATTTATAAGTCGGCCTCACGCAGGTACGGGCGATCTGGGAGCTCACCTGCTTCTCCTGCTCAGTGTGGGGAAGCTGCTGTCCGCTCTGCAGCTTGCTGGCCAGTGCCTGCTCCTGCCTCTGGCCCTCCTGCTGGTACTGATCCTTCTGGAAGTCGGTCAGCGCGTCCCGAGTGGTTTCGGCATACGGCTTGGCGAAGAATTTCTGCGATCTGGGGATGAAACCTGAAGGCACAACGAGGCTGGTTACGCAGAGGTATTCGGAAACAATAAGGCCCCCTAATTCCTTGTTAGGATGTACATACCCTTTAAGGGATTCATGGACCCTTTAAAATAAATGAGAAGTGTGGACAATGCTCTTTTGGTCATCCTCCTCCTGAGCGTCACATGAGGACACTTAGATCTGCAGTCATGTGACCCAGATTCAGCCCACAGCAGGCTAAAGTGCACTGACATCACAGCTGGTCCAGGCTCTGCAGGCATCCTGGCAATAATGTCGGTATCTACCCAGATCCAGATACTCGCAGCTGGCTCAGCCTTGAGAGCCTGAACTAGGTGCACTCACCCCGTCCCCAGGCTGGTGTGCTCCAGGAGGGGCAGAGCAGACTGACAGTCACCGCTTTCTGCTCAGGCCGGACCCGAGAACTGAGTGATCTCAGCAGTCATGTAACCCAGATTCAGCCCACAGCAGGCTAAAGTCCACTGACATCACAGAGCTGGTCCAGGCTCTGCAGGCATCCCGGCAATAATGTTGGGATCTACACAGATCCAGATACTTGCAGCTGGCACAGCTACTCAACATGCTGTTGAGACCCTGAGCCAGGTGCTCTCACCCCATCTCCAGCCTGGTGTTTCAGGAGGGGCAGAGCAGACTGACAGTCACCGCTCTCTACTCAGACCGGACCCGAGAACTGAGTGATCAGCGGTCATGTGACCCAGATTCAGCCCACAGCAGACTAAAGTCCACTGACATCACAGAGCTGGTCCAGGCTCTGCAGGCATCCCGGCAATAATGTCGGGATCTACTCAAATACAAATGCTTGCCTCCAGGAGGGGCAGAGCAGACTGACAAGTCACCACTGTCTGCTCAGACCAAACCCGAGAACTGAGTGATCAGCGGTCATGTGAACCAGATTCAGTCCACAGCAGGCTAAAGTCACTGACATCACAGAGCTGGTCCAGGTTCTGCAGGCATCCCAGCAATAATGTCAGGATCTACCCAGAATCAGATACTTGCATCTGGCTCAGCCTTGAGAGCCTGAGCCAGGTGCTCTCACCTTGTCTCCAGCCTGGTGCTCCCGGAGGGGCAGAGTAGATCGATAGTCGCCGCTCTCTGTTCAGACAGGACCCAAGAACTGAGTGATCAGCAGTCATGTGACCCAGATTCAGCCCACAGCAGGCTGAAGTCCAATGACATCACAGAGCTGGTCCAGGCTGTGCAGGCATCTTGGCAATAATGTCGGGATCTACCCAGATTCAGATGCTTGCAGCTGGCTCAGCCTTGAGAGCCTGCACTAGGTGCTTTCACCCCATCCCCAACCTGGTGCTCCAGGAGGGGCAGAGCAGATTGACAGTCACCGCTCTCTGTTCAGACCGGACCCGAGAACTGAGTGATCAGCAGTCATGTGACCCAGATTCAGCCCAGAGCCAGCTAAAGTCCACTGACATCACAGAGCTGGTCCAGGCTGTGCAAGCATCCCGGCAATAATGTCGGGATCTACTCAAATCCAGAATGCTTGCTTCCAGGAGGGGCAGAGCAGTCTGACAGTCACCGCTCTCTGCTCAGACCGGACCTGAGCACACCCGCAGCGGTTTGCAGGAACGGGGTGCGATTCTGATGCGGTGCGGAATTCGCTGTAAATTCCGCACCCCATCAGTGTGAACCCGAGCTTAAAGCAAAGCATGTTAAACGTGTAATAAGGCACAATGCATGTGCGGGCATTACAGCAGTGCACTGGACCGTAGTGTAACCATGAAAATGAGATGGGGAAGGGGCCCCCAGGGGCCACATTACCTGTGTATCCGGGGATCATACTCCATGAAAGTTTCTTGTCTCCTAGACGGGGTCGCCTTCTCTTGGTGATGTCTTCAGGACCTTCTATGTGGCTGGTGTTACGGGGGGGCAGGAACGGACAGGACTGCAGCACCAGATGCCGAGCGATGGATGTCCGGAGTGGTCAGCAGCTCTGCGGTCAGCTTCCCGTACGTTTTGCCCAGGTTGTATTTGTACTGAGGGCAAAATCCGCCATACCTTGAAGGAAAGGTGGATATGTGGAATTACATAGGTAAAAAATAAAATAATAATATTAATAATATATATTAATATTATTTTTATAATAAAATACAACAAATAGAAGGTTTTGCCCAAATTGTTTATTAATGAGGGCAAAATCCGCCATACCTTGAATGAAAGGTGGATATGTGGGATTACATACATAAAATATTAAAAAAAATAATATTAATCATGTATACTGTAATTATATTTGTATAATAATAATAAATAATACAATACCTGAATGAACGGTGGATATATGAATTACATAGGTAAAAAATAAAATAATAATATTAATAATATATATTAATATTATTTATAATAAAATACAACAAATACAAGGTTTTGCCCAAGTTGTTTATTTACTAAGGGCAAAATCTGCCGTACCTTCAATGAAAGGTGGATATGTGGAATGACATATCTAAAATAATAATATTATTATTAATATATTAATATTATTAATAAAATATAATAATACACACTAATAGGTTTTGCCCAGTTCTGCTTGGACTGAGGGCAAAATCTGCCATACCATGAGTGAAAGGTGGATATGTTGAATTACATATATAAAATAATAAACTATATTAAGATTAATAATAAAAAAATATAATAATAATAACAATAATAATAATAATAAAATAATAGGTTTTTGTCCCAGTTGTGCTTGTACTGAGGGCAAAATCTGCCATACCCTGAATGAAAGGTGGATATGTGGAATTACGTAAATAAAAAATATAAAAAATTGTAATATTAATAATATTTATCAATAATAAAAATAATATAATCAAAAATAATAAGAAAATTACATATTCATATATATATATATATATATATTTATATATATATATATATATATATATATATGAATGATATGTAATTTTATTATTATTTTTGATATTATTTTTATTATTGATAAATATTATTAATATTACAATTTTTTTATTTTTTTATTTATATATATATATGAATGATATGTAATTTTTTATTATTATTATTTTTGATTATATTATTATTTTTATTATTGATAAATATTATTATTTTTTATATATATATATCTGCTGTAGCTAAGGGGGAGGGGAGGCATTGTGTTAAAGCTTTTCATGTTTTTCTGTTGGTCTTTTTCTATTCTATAAAAATATTTCAATTGTATTTATTTATTTTTTAATACAGAGATCTCTCTACGTGGCACATCATTTCTGTATACAGTTCATATTTCAGATATCACTGGTGATCACACACCTCTTGCTATAAAATAATATCAATGGTAAATATTTTTTTCTGAGTTATTATGAAAGAAAAAAAATGTAAACTGTACAGCTGGAAAGGAATAGTGTTCCTATGTGTAGGTTGCGTTGCAGCAGACCTGTTGATAAGTGGCAGTTGTTTCTATGTAGAGGTGTACACAGGGAGAGGAGGCCTGCAGCCATGGCAGTAGACAACACGCAGTGCTGACAGCCGGCCTCCCATTGTGTGGCCTGTCATTGTATCCAGGCTGATACTTTTCTGTAACAAACAGATCGATGACCCTTTCCTGCCCTGTACTCCATCCTGTCCCGGGGACAGAAAATGAGCAATGACTCCATAGGAGCGCTCACATTTCCGTCCTCAGGGAACTATCTTGCACTTTTTTTTTTCAAATGTTTATTAGGTCATATAAGAAATGCTGTTGTGTTGGGCAGCTGATAAAAATTCTCTGTTAGCCTCACAAGCCCCTAAATTTGTTTGTGTATGTATATGTTTATTTTTTTTTATTCTCTTCTTCTTCTTCTTATTATTATTATTATTATTATGATTATTATTAGTGCTATTATTATTAATAATATAACAACAACAATATTATTATTATGAACATTATTATTATTAATAATAATAACAACAATATTATTATTATGAACATTATTATTGTTATTATTATTAATAATATAACAATATTATTATTATGAACATTATTATTATTATTATTATTATTATTATTATTAGTGTTATTATTATTAATATAACAATATTATTATTATGAACATTATTATTATAATTATTATTATTAGTGTTATTATTATTATTATTATTATTATTATTATTAATAATATAAACAACAACAATATTATTATTATGAACATTATTATTATTAGTGTTATTATTAGAGATGAGCGAAGAAATGAAAAATTCGATTCGACTGATTCGGCGAATTCGTGCCGCACACTTCACTCATTTGGGCAGTCACGGGGCCAAAACCAGAGTGTTGGAGCCACAGTGTGGCGGTGGAGGCTCAGCAGCAATGGGAGGCCATACAGCACCCTATGACAAAAATGGAAACCACCAGCAGTGTGAGGAGACCTGAAAGTGGCACATGGCAGAGTGTGGCGATAGAGACAGCAGCAATGGGAGGCCGTACAGGGGACCCATGACACACTCTGGACCTGGCAGCAGCATGAGGAGGCGGTACAGGGGGCCCATGACAGATTACGGGCCTGGCAGCAGCATGAGGAGTCGGTACAGGGGCCCATGGCAGA